TGACTTACGAGGTCAAAAAACACTTCACTATGACTGCCATTTCCCTGCCGAATGCATGTGCTATTGGCCAGATTGTACTCAGATTCTCATCCCACGTGGCGGCCTCTTATTGGCAAACTGAATTTTGTAATTTCCGTTGGATAATGATGGGTTATGTTGCTTTGAGAGGAACATACTCTAATCCAGGAAACATTCGCGGATTAGCGAAAAGCCCGAGGCTGTTAACCTCAAAAATCAATATTATAATACGCGGACAGGACAAATCAATGAAACGACGGCGTTTCGCGTCAACGTTAACGGAGGCCGTCAAATGGCTGTCGTCACTCGACCAGGCTTTTGCCATCGGGCGGGACCCACACCATAGAAATCTTGGCGGGGCATCAGACGGCGAGTTAAGGGATGAGAGAACGGATACAAATTGCCTTCCCGAGGCAAAGTGATAAAGGCAGGCAAGCAAACAAAATTGTATCGTGGCAAACGTGTTATTGTAATAGGTGATTTAATATTATGCAACTGGTTAACGAGTGATGTCGTTTTATATTCAAGGATAGAATTCTTGTCGGATCTTTTTTGTGAGTATCTTGAAGATTTTTTAATTACATTTGTACATTGTGATGTCAATTTTTGTCAGATATTGTTTATATTCAATTTTAAATAAAAAAATTTATAATGATTTGTGATCGCATAATGTACAATGAACGAATGTGATTGAAGATTCTTAAAATCCTTTTATCATTTTTATTTATTTATTTTTATCATTTTTATTAGTTTTATCATTTTTATTATTTTTATTTATTTTTATTTATTTTTGTTATAAACATACATATTGTAATTATGAAAGATAAAATGATGTAAATAAATAATTTTTGGAATTTACCGGAATCCCCCACTTTCACCAGCTATTATATTATAATTAGCAAGAGTAAATTGGGTAATACCCTATTATTCTACGAATTTGGATCCTTGCTAGATCCCCTCCTTGGGGATCATAAATATCAACGCACGTGAACCGTTGATAAAAAATCTTGTGATCATAATTTTTTCATTTTTTTATATTTTTCACGCAAAACAAAGATGCTTTACTTTTAGTTATATAAAAAATATTTAATTGAAACCGCACAATTTTTTATCAACGGTCCACGTGCGTTGATTCCTAGGATCCCCAAGGAGAGGATCCGGTGAGGATTCAAATCCTTATTCTACTTTCCTTTTGTCGCTTTATTTAATTTACTAATTCACCACTGCAAGGTATGATTTTCTATTTATAAATTAACAATTGTAAAATTAATAATTTAGTTTTTTTTTTTTTTTTTTTAACCAAAGATAGAGATATATTAAATACGAATGAAAATGTTTACATCCTGCGCAAGAACATTAAACAGAAATTCAGGGCCAACATGGTCCCAGACAAAGTCCTTGCCTTCCTTAAAGACAAACTTAGCCACAGAGTGAGCGGCACGATTTCGCTCCTTAGGCACAAAGCCAAACGTCACAGACGTTAGTCTTCGGGCTAGTACCTCAATATCGCCAAGAATGCATTCAAAGCTACAGTTAGGGGCAGTCCCCTTATTGATCATCAGAATGACAGTTTTTGCATCTGCTTCCACAAAGACATTCTCAAATCCGTATTCAGTACAGTATTGCAAACCTGTACGGATAGCATGTGCCTCTGCAGCAGCCGCGCAGTGGAAAGTGCTGGTGCCCGAGCCTCCCGCCGCATGGAGAATGCCAGCGAAATCTCTGATAACCCATACCGCTCCAGCTCTGAAGGACGCACTGCACCAGGACGCGTCGGTATTGAGCTTGAAAGTTCCAAACTGCGGCTTTTCCCAGAGAGCAGGCATCATCAGAGGAGATTTTAGGGGCCGTACTGCACCCTCATCCAGAGAATCATGATTCATAGCTTCCCTGTACTCACCGATGTTCTTCCTCCAAACAGTTAGGATTTCATTTGGTTGGCAGTGTGACCCTTTGAACACCACATCATTTCTGTTTTTCCATATCCGCCAAAGCCCAAACGCAAATTCTTGCATGATAGCCTCTGCGTCCTCTCTATCTTTAATACTAGTGCAGAAGATATTCCAGCTATCTAAAAAATCAGCACCGATCAATTCAATGGAGTTGAGATGTAGTGGGGAACAAAACCAGAGGTGGTGGCTGAGGTCACATCTAAAAAATAGGTGATTTTCAGATTCGTCAACCAAGTTGCATACCCCGCAGACATTGTCGATCCGCATATGTCGTCTTTTTAGATTGTGACGAACAGCAAGGGCATTATTACAGCATCTCCATATGAAGAACTTGATTTTGTTGGGAACTTGAAGGTTCCAAATACCTTTCCAAACCTGATTGGTGTTATGGTGCATGCTAGGGACTCCTCGCCCTTTTTTTCCCAAAGCTCCGTTCTCCAGTAAACTAACAACAACCCCATAACCGGTTTTAACCGAGTAGCTTCCGTCGACGGTGTGGTGCCACACAAGTCTATCACAGCAGCTAAATTTACTTAAGGGGATGCTAAGTATGTGTTTTGTATCCTCCGAACTGAAGCCTTGCAGGATGACTTCACTTTTCCATGACCTGGAGTTGGGCTCAATCAAATCACTAACCATAGTTTCTTGCAGGCAGTCTCTCGGCTTTACCAAAAAGGTGGTGGGTTTCGGGAACCACGGGTCGTCCCGGATGTTAATCTTAGTGCCATCTCCCACCCGCCACCTGATTCCATGTTGAAGCACCCTTCGAGCTTCGAAGATACCTTTCCATCCCCACGATGTGTTTTTACCCTTTCCTGCCTCCCTAAAGGTTTTCTTCGGGAAGTATTTTTCTCTTAGCACAGAGGCTAAGAGAGACGACGGGTTCTGGATAATTCTCCCTATTTAGTTTTTGACTATATGGAAGATAATTCTAGTTAAGTGGTCCCCTGCCTGTGGCTGGACCAAAGCATGTGTGGTTTACAAGAAGGTTGGAAGGTCCATACTTTCAATGGCACTGCATCTTAAATTCGTGGATTCTCTAATCATGATCAAAGTTCTATGGTTTGTTTTCAGTATTTAATTTGGACCTCAATGGTACAAAACATGTGTGGTTTACAAGAGATTTTCAATGTGTTCGGAACACGGGACAGAACACCACATATCATCATATAGTTAGAGAGACACTTGAAAAAAAAATTCCTCCAATTGTACACTAACATTTAGTATTTCGCCATACGTTCCAAACACATTGAAAAATCTCTAGTAGTTTACTAATCATTACACATATTTATGATCCTATTTTAGCAATGCTCTTGACCTTTGGACACTTTGCCCTGCAAACTTTCAGTTTCGTTTCGAACCCCTTAAGTATTCAAACCTTGCAAATCTTCCCCAATCATCAAATGTGTTACATTTTTTTGGTTAAGTTCGTCACATACAATGCATGTGACTAACTTTTAAGGGCATATATGTTAAGAAATGTTGCATTCATAAGAAAAATTAGTAATGTCACAGTATTACAGTTCGGTGATATCCCTGTGAATGACAAGTTCGCAACTAATTTATTCTCTCACCCTATTAGTTTAAGTATATCGCTAGTTAAAAAAAATAAATATAGAATTTTGATATTGAAGTTATGAGAAAATTTTCAAAAGGAATTCAATGGCTTTTATTGTAAAAATTGGACAAAAATAACTCTATATTAACAGAATAATCAACAAAACTAATAGACAAAGATACATCATCACCCCTTAAGAACTTTGTAATAAAATTCCAACAATGTTGTGCTAACGGGTGGTTAAACGAAATGTAGACATCTTTTATCATTGTGGAAGACAAAAGCAACTCAAACCAAATTTTAGTTGGTGATTGTTTTTTTGGATTGAAAAGTGAAACATCCCGTTTAGAGAGCGACTACTTAGGTTGGATTGCTACATCAATGTCGCTTAACAAACATGAAGGTGAAATAAGAGAAATGTTAACGGACTCTTTTAAAAGTTGAACGCTTTATATATTTTTTGTCATCTTACAGTTTAATATTAATTTTTGTGCCAACATTGTAAAATATTGTACAAAAAACATGAGATGACAAAGAGTCTATCGAGAGTTCTACTTTTGAGGGAGTTTTATTAGCATTTCCTGTGAAATAAACTTTAATTTGAGAAATTTTGTGAAAACACGATAAATTATATGGAGTTTTCTGTTTTTAATTAGTGTTTCTTTGTTCCTTATCTATTTTCAAGAAATACAACTGTGAACTTTATTCCATATATCATGGTCCATAAATTGAATTCCCTTTCATCAACACAAATTGTCTTTCCTTATATGGTATTTATTCAATTACCATATGTGTTGAGTGGATGTATTTTATGACATTCCAAACCATGATAATAATTTACTTCAATTTAATGGTGAATGCGGAAAGCACTTCAAACTAACTTTGAGCTCGTTTAGAAATATTATTAGACTGATTGAGAAAACTTTTAGAGAAAATGTTTTTAGGTTTCAAAATCATTTAAAGTGTTTCCTATAGGAAGTACCAGTTATCTGCATAAGTGATGTGCTTCTTGCAAGAAGCATAATATGTCTTTCTTATACGAAGTATTTCAAGTGTTTTTTCATGATCCACTTGCATTTTTACTAAAGATTGATTTAAAAATATTTTTTACAAACAACGTTTTTAGCCATTTTAAAAGTACTTTCAAACAAACTCTTAACTTTATAATTAGTTTTAATTATCGTTGTTAGTGTACTTTTATGTTATCTACACTTGTGCTACACATAGATTGATCATTGACTGGTGCGACAAAATGAAATGATAGGATGAAAGAATAGTGGTTTTCACACTTTGAATTTCTCTTTTTTCTCGCTTTTTATCAATTAACAATGATTTGATTTACTAATTCAATCGCTAACCAAAGGTGTGCAAGTTAAAAATAGATGTGAGATTACATTTCACAAACCATAAGGTAGCTCGGGCATAAGGACTTATGAAGACCCCAACTTGTGACACAGAGAGAGAGAGAGAGAGAGAGAGAGAGAGAGAGAGAGAGAGCAGTAATGTTGCAGAAAACACAGAGGGAGGCTGAGACGTCTGCCATGTGGCTTCTTAACTTTATCCATGAAAATAATTCTCCTTTCTCTCTCTAGCTCCTCACTCTCTCTCTCTAGTCGGTACAGTTGTATTTACAGGCCTACGCAGCTGCCAGAGCGATGTGATTGAACGATTGCAGGCTTTCGTTTTATGGGTTGAAGAAGAAAAGCTCTCTCTCTCTCTCTCTCTCTCTCTCTCTCTCTCTCACATTCTGAATATCTCTCTTCGAATCGAGGACTTTCGGGAAAAAGGAAAGGGAAAAGAAATATACCACAGCTTAAGGGGTTGGAGAATTTTTTTATTGCCCAAAATGTTCCTCAGCTTGGGAAGCTCTGTTTTTGTAAAGGTAGTTCAATGTAGGCGGGTCCAAGGAGAGGAGGAGGAAGAGGTGGGATTCTTTTAGCTTTTGGGGGTGTACGGATTCTCTGTTTTCTTTGGGAACTGGAGTTTGTTGGGTAGTTTGTGAAATGAGGTTTGATGGGAGGGCAGTAATGGCATTTCGGGTGGAGTTTGTGCTTCTGGTTCTTCTTCTTGGGTGTGTGAGCTTCGGTTATGGGGACTCACAGAACGGTGAGTTGCAGACTCTGTTGGGATTTTTCTCTGTTTGGGTACCCAGAAAATGCAAGAAAGTTTTGAGCTTTCCTCCAACCATTTTATTTTCTACTGCCCCCTTTTTTCTGCAGCCAAACAATGGATAGTCCATCTGTTTTCCCAACAATCTTGTGAGATTATTTCTCCGGGTTGAGTACCATTGTAGCAAGCTTTGTTTAGGCTTTTACTCTGTTTGGCCACCCAGAAAATGCACGACTGCTTTGAGCTTTCAACCAAGCATTTATGTTCTTCTACTGTTCCCTCATTCTGTGCAGCCAAACAGGGTTGTGAAATTGTCACCAAACAAGTTTGTGAAATTCTCTCTGGGTTGAGCTGCAAGCTCTGGTTAGGATTTTCCTGTGTTTGGGTACCTAGAAAATGCACCAAAAATTTGAAATTTTAGTTCAACCAAAGCATTTTTCTGTCACTGTTCCTCTTTCTCTGCAGCCAAACATTGGATAAATATCTGGATTTTATTTATGTGGAGAAATAATAAAAAACTGGGATTAGCAGGGTTTAGTTAGTAAATTAATTTATAGGGTTGATCACTTTATATACATTTGTATATTATTTTGGAGCCTGAGATTTTGAATTTTTGTCAATATTTAAGATCAAGGAAGAACACTGCTGGGGATAAAGAAGGCATTTAGGGATGTGGACAATGTTCTCTATGAATGGACAGATTCACCCTCTTTAGATTACTGTGTTTGGAGAGGCGTCACATGTGATAACTCTCTCAATGTCATTGCACTGTGAGAAAACACTATCCCCTTTTTTATTCCCCTTTTGGGGCTGACTTATTTAATTAACATTCTTAAATACTACCTTAAACATGTGTTCTTTTTGTTTGATTAACGTTTGATTATTTTAATGTTTTGTGTGCAGTAATCTATCAGGTTTGAATCTTGGAGGGGAAATCTCATCTGTGATCGGAGATCTCGAAAGCCTGCAGTCTATGTAACTCTTTGTCTCACATTGTCATTTCTAGACATTGCAATTGTTTTAGCTTTTCTAGTTTGTGGTGGGATTTTAGGTTGAGATTGATTGTCATTTTGTTGTTTGATTAGTGATTTGAGGGGAAACCACCTTTCCGGCCAGATCCCGGATGAGATTGGTGACTGTGTAGCACTGCGAAACCTGTAATTTCTTCGAACTTTACCAGAATTTTGTTTAAACATTCGTCATTTTTAATGCCAAGTCGATTGAATGTTTCGTTAAATGGTGTTATTAGGGACTTGTCCTTCAATGAGATATTTGGAGACATACCATTTTCGATATCCAAGTTGAAACAGCTTGAAAATCTGTAAGCTTCTTCAAGAAACTCACTTTTATACATTAATATTACTTGCATGTGTTTTATATTATTCTTAATTTTAATTGGACTGGCAGGATTTTAAAAAATAATCAATTGATCGGACCACTTCCTTCAACGCTGTCCCAGATTCCAAACCTGAAGATTTTGTAAGTTCTTTATACAGTATCTTACATTTCATCATATGCATTATTGTTCTATACACGTGACGGAATTTCTCATATTCTGGATTGCTCCTTCCAGAGACCTAGCACAGAATAATCTCAGTGGGGAGATACCAAGGCTTATTTACTGGAATGAAGCTACAGTATCTGTGAGTAGACTGATCAATTGCTGATGCTAAATTTTCGTTTCATTCTTCGTTGTGTAGCGTTTCTACATTCATTCGGTGATGTTATTTCTGCTTTGATGCCAATTTAACTACCATTTCCTTTACCATTGCAGTGGCTTGCGAGGGAACAATTTAGTTGGAACACTTTCTCCAGATATGTGCCAGTTAACTGGGTTATGGTATTTGTAAGTTAACATATAACCCCTTCGTTCCACTAGCCTCCTTAAAAATGTTATATTTCCTGTGTAAAGGATAGTTTAACAGTCTAATGTTCTTTCTCTACAATTTGCCAGTGATGTGAGAAATAACAGCTTGACCGGTAGCATTCCTCAAAACATAGGGAACTGCACTGCCTTCCAGGTTTTGTACGTATTTCATCTCACATTCTCACGTATGGAGCAACTTTCTACTAGTGCCTTTGTTGGGCTATTCAAATAAGACTCGTCCATTTTGATTTGCAGGGATCTATCCTACAACCAGCTAACTGGAGGGATTCCGTTTAATATCGGGTTTCTGCAAGTTGCGACCTTGTACGTGCTTGGAATTTTCTTTGAGATTGTCCGTATCTTGACATGTCATTACAACATTTCAGTTATTAATTTATTAATGTTGTTTTCTTTGTGCTTGCAAGGTCATTACAAGGTAATCAACTTTCTGGGCCTATCCCATCCGTGATTGGCCTGATGCAGGCTCTCGCTGTCTTGTAAGTGCTTAACTGTATACTTCTGGACCTTGTAGAGTTTTATTAAGTCTCCCTTGCTGTATTTATGTTATATTTTGTGGCTTATCTGTTCATCGTCCCCAATCCAGGGATTTGAGCAGCAACGCTTTAAGTGGACCAATCCCTCCTATCCTAGGGAATTTGACTTATACAGAGAAACTGTAAGTATGCATGTAATATGAAATAGTTACAAAGTATGTTGGCGCATGACTCGATAAATTTCAGATTGTAGGCCTCCATCTAATGAGCAATACATTACGAACAATTTTCTATCAACTGTATATATTGAGCGTTATGTTATTTGATTATAATTGACTAAACAACTTTATTGAAAAAATTATATGTTGCTTGATGCAAGTTCTCACTCCAACTATTGTCTGCATAGGTATTTGCATGCTAACAAGCTTAATGGATCAATCCCCCCAGAGCTTGGACAGATGTCAAAGCTTCATTATTTGTATGTGAACTTTCTTACTTCCGCTCTTGGATGTATTTCTTTGGTAGTTATTTGCGCGTATGATTTCTTTATTTGACGAATGGTCCCATTTCTGTTTTCACCTGTAAGGAATGTTCAGAAAAATGAGTTTCGTTGCCTATGCAGGGAGTTGAATGATAACCATCTTACAGGACATATTCCACCGGAACTTGGGAAGCTGACCGATTTGTATGACCTGTAGGTTCTCTTGCCGTATGAGGTTTGAAAACGAGAATGGTTTCCTCATGTCCTAAATTTTCAGTAACTAATCAATGTTTTTGCAGTAACGTTGCGAACAACTATCTTCAAGGACCTATCCCTGATAATCTCAGCTCGTGTACAAATCTCAACAGCCTGTAAGCACGTAACCTCAGTTTTTACTTTGCCTTATCAACCTTGTTTAAGTGGCTTATCCCTTATCATTCTGATATCAGCAATGTGCATGGGAACAAGTTGAGTGGAACCATCCCGCCTGCTCTTCAGAGGCTGGAGAGTATGACTTACTTGTAAGTTCCAACAATATAAACATTGGTTTACGGTTAAAACATACCTTACTTTTTGTTATACATTTATCTTCATGTTCCTCGTGTTCATGAAGCAGAAGTTATGAATCACGGTTTCTGTCTCGTTGCTCTGACAAAAATGTTATCATTTTCAGAAATCTGTCCTCCAACTATCTTCGTGGTCCAATTCCTATCGAGCTGTCTTTTATTGGTAACTTGGATACCTTGTAAGTATCAAGTGTCCTAGTATTTTCCTCTCGTGTTCCTTTCTTTTGTTAACATATATGGATACTTTTCGCACAGGGATATTTCAAATAACAAAATAAGTGGAACCATTCCTTCATCACTTGGGGATTTGGAACATCTTCTAAAGCTGTGAGTTCAACTGCTTGGTTTTCTATTGCAATGGTTTTTCTTTTCTTTTTATGCTCTGACACCTGATATTTTTATGTGTTAGGAATTTGAGTCGAAACCATTTAACGGGATTTATTCCAGGGGAGTTTGGTAATTTAAGGAGTGTTATGGAAATGTATGTATTTGTTAATTTGTAAGATAATTGATTTTAATGAATCAGATCGATAATCTCTTCTATTCTTTCTGCTTTTTCTTCTGTAAACTCGATGCATTTGTTTTGCAGAGACCTTTCAAATAATCAGCTCACAGGATTAATTCCTCGAGAGCTCAGTCAGCTACAGAACATGAATTTATTGTAAGTTTTACCGATCTCCATAATTTTGACCAGTGTTTTCATTGAAAGAAGAGTAGAATGTTACTGTATACATTTATTGATTTTATTTGTGTCGTTAATGCACAATATAACAGGAGATTAGAGCACAACAATATATCCGGGGATGTGGTATCACTGATAAACTGCTTCAGCCTTTCTGTACTGTGAGTCCATTACAATCATTCGAGTTTCTGTTTGATGTCCTCAGTCTGATGGCAGGGTTATCCAGCTTTTACTTAGAAGCACTAAATATCTCCGAATCCTTGCAGAAATGTATCTTACAACAACCTGGCAGGCGACGTTCCCACGAGCAAGAACTTCTCAAGGTTTTCACCAGACAGGTTAGAGATTCTGACTATATTTCCAAAATTTCATTAACATTTAGCTTAGCTTTGAGGGTTCAGGCGACTCCATTTGGCTTAAATTTTTCCCCATCTTTGGCTGATATAACCTCTTGTTTGCAGTTTTATTGGAAATCCTGATCTTTGTGGCCCTTGGCTCGATTCTCGATGTCATGAGTCTCGTCCAACAGAGCGAGGTAAATATTACTATCTGGTGGCATGCTGAGCTTCAAAGAGAACTGATACAGTTTGGACCACAATTTGACATGATCGACTACGTAGTCTGTCATTGAATGTCATACTTTAGTACAAAGAATTTTCACTTTTTTCATTTCTCCTTCTTTTGCAGCCACACTATCTAAACCTGCTATCCTGGGAATTGCTCTTGGGGCCCTTGTGATTCTTCTCATGATTCTTATTGCTGTATGCCGGCCATATAATCCAACTCCTTTTTCTGATGGTTCATTTGACAAACCGGGTAATTTCCTCTATAAGATAATTATTCTGTACTAAATGTAGTAATAGAAACTTGAGCTAATCAATTCCATTTGCTTGTGAAATAGCAGTTAATTACTCAAATCCGAAGCTGGTGATCCTTCACATGAATTTGGCACTTCATGTGTACGAGGACATCATGAGGATGACTGAAAACTTGAGCGAGAAGTATATAATTGGTTACGGTGCATCAAGTACAGTGTACAAATGTGTTCTGAAAAATTGTAAGCCAGTGGCCATCAAGAAACTCTACACCCAGTATCATCGGTGCATGAAGGAATTTGAGACAGAACTTGCGACAGTTGGAAGCATCAAGCATCGGAATCTGGTGAGCCTCCAGGGGTACTCCTTGTCCTCCTCCGGAAACCTTCTCTTTTACGACTACATGGAAAATGGCAGTCTCTGGGATCACCTTCATGGTAGGTTCACACGTTTCTTGAATGCCGTTGGCCTGTTGGTGTTACAAAGAAACTAATTTTTAATTCCTTATCTACTGAGTTTTTTCACCTCAGGCCCTTTCAAGAAGAAGAAGCTCGACTGGACAACTCGTCTCCAGATTGCCCTTGGAGCAGCCCAAGGGCTTGCCTATCTGCATCATGATTGCAGCCCCCGAATCATACACCGGGATGTCAAGTCGTCCAATATTCTATTGGACAAGGATTTCGAAGCTCATCTAAATGATTTCGGCATTGCCAAGACCTTATGCCACTCAAAGACCCATACGTCTACTTACTTAATGGGCACGATTGGCTACATAGACCCTGAGTATGCGCGAACTTCCCGCCTCACTGGAAGTCCGATGTGTATAGTTATGGAATTGTTCTGCTGGAGTTGCTGACAGGAAGAAAAGCCGTAGACAATGAATCCAATCTCCATCATTTGGTAGGTCACGTTCCTTATTGTCTTGTATTTTGACAATGCATTCAACTTTAACAATGTTTCTCACATAACGCTTCGTATAATTTGACTCAGATATTATCCAAGACGGAGAGCAATGCTGTCATGGAAACCGTAGACCCCGAGATCTTGCCAACATGCACAGACCTCGGACCGGTGAAGAAGGTCTTCCAGCTTGCCCTTCTGTGCACAAAGCGGCAGCCAACAGACCGGCCAACAATGCACGAAGTAACTCGCGTGTTGGCCAGTCTCATGCCTTGCCCCGCACCACCAAAACAACCAACCCCTGCCAACCCGCCATCGTCACAGCTCCCGATCACCAAAGTGCCGTGCTACGTGGACGAGTACGTGAATCTGAAAACGCCACACATGCTGAATTGTCCATCAATGAGCACCTCAGATGCCCAGCTGTTTCTCAAGTTTGGAGAGGTAATTCTCAGAACAGTGAGTGAAAAATGAAGCATTTGGAGAGGAAGTATTATTATATATTATATGTTATGAAAAATCTTGAAAAAAATAGTGGGAAAGTAGGAAGGCTGAGTTGGTTGAAAATGTGTACAAAGATTTGGCTTTTCAGCTTGTCGTAGGTGGAAAGATGGGAAAAAGATGAACAACTTTTTAGTAACATCTGAGTGTAGTAACTTTGTTCTCTCTTAATCGAGCAATATTCTAATTCTAATTGAAAAATTGGTTGAATAACCGTACGTCAAATATTAATTGCTAAACTGATTAATCAAATACGAACGCATGAAGAAAAATTTGACGACATATCAATAAGATATTAGAAGTTTAATCATTTCGGCAATTGAAATTTAAAAGATGGTCATTTTAGCCAATTTTTTGTTCTAAAGCGCGGGAGGGGAATTTGTATTTTGGTTGATGGGGGGTGGACATTGTTTTAGTCAACTTAGCTGCTAAAGTGTAGGAACTTTAGCATTCTTATGGTAGTATTTTTGAATTTGACTTAAGCCAATTGGGGCCCACCAACTAATGGGCCGGCATAATGGATGGATTAGTTATCACCATTGCCGTTAATTTTTATCATTCTATTTATCATTGTTGGATTAGTTGAATTTTGAGATTTGGGTTTATTCACTATACCGATCTTGAAAATACAGTGTGAAACGGTCCTCAAAATATAAGGGTGAGCATTAGCATCACTTAAGGATGGTGAGTAAAAATATTCTGGCGTAGTGGGGTCAGTATTACTAGGGTTAAACAAGCCCGTGGTCCTGTTGGGGGGTGCATTATATGCCTGCCGAGCAATAATGCAGTGTGGGACGGTACTTGGGTGGACAGTGACAGTCTGAGAAGTTGAAAACTCCGAGCAGGTTTGCCTCTTGCCATTATTCACGGCGCGAATTATTTTTTAAAATTTGAACGTGGGTGGTGGTGAAAAACTAACGGACGGATTAAATTTAAACAAAGTAGCAAGGATGATATTACAACAACAAAAAGTTCTGCAAGGGTTAGAGTGAAATATAAATGTTTGTGTGCCCTTTTTTTTTTGAACGGAACTTGGCTGCTGAAGATTCAGCAGTACTCCTGCTGATCACCAATCACGGTTGGACACAGTTCTGCAAAGGTTAGAGTGAAATATAAATGTTTGTGGGCTTTTTTTTTGAACCGGACTTGGCTGCTGAAGATTCAACAGCACTCCTGCTGATCACCAATCACGGTTGGACATACCGTGATTGGTGATCAGTAGGGGGTGTTGCTGATTCTTTCAGCAACCAAGTTCTATCCTTATTTTTTGGGGCAACATGTATCAAGAAGGATTATTTTGGTCTTAAACTTGAGATCCAAGGCCCTTAATATGGAGAAATTCTTAGATCCGAACATTCGGACCATGTAAAACCATCTAGCGCTCCTCGGAAAGAAAGCGGAATCCTCAATCTAATCCCATTGAACGCCACATTCTTTCAACGCTTTGAGTCAACTGCTCTACATGGGTGTCATCACACAAGAACCTCTCATGAATGTGGCCCTTGAACTCATACATTTAGGATCTCGTACCTACATTTAGGATTCGAAAGTTGCATTTGATGTGCTTTTAAGTTCATTGTGTTCTCACACTCCATTTGAGTTTGCTGCCTTATATAGGCGTCCGCACACAAGAAACTCTCGGGCTTTGAACTCAAAACGGAGACCCGCAGTTCTACTCGATACCAATACCCTACATTTAGAACGTTGAAAGTTATATCAATCATGAAGCCCGCCGTCAACACGGGCCTTGGTAAATGCGGGCCCACAAATAATCATTTTTGTTATATTTTTTGTAAACAGTATTTTACTGCAGTGGCCTATTTGGTTTGCAATTTGCAAACTGTGTTATTTGAGGGTTTAATGAAAATTCAAATTGTAATATCGATTTTGTTAAACTGAACAAAAGGGACCTTCCATGCAACGGAAGAGTCATGCTCTCCTAAAGTCTTCATTTTGAGGATCTGTGAGGAGCAAGAGTCTGTTAGGATTGGATTGGCCTATATTTGTAAGATAAGACTTGTAACATATGTATAAGAATATGTTATATAACTCACTCTATTGTGGATTATATACCCCATTATACTCAGTCATGTTTATCTCATATTTTGACACAACAAACAACGGACTGAACACAAGTCTATTTTAATTGATCACAACATATACCATCATGCCCACCAAACAGGCCCTAAAGGTATATCAGCCACAATATTATAGATCAAAAGTCTTAAAATATTTGACAACTTAGTAAAGCAAAACCAACGTAAAATCCATAAACCATTAGAAAACTCTTATTAAGTTGTCAAATATTTTAAACCTTTAAATTTAAGTTAATACAATTTTGTGGTTAATATGCATTTGGTACTCACAAGTCTTCAAAATGAGAACCTTAGAAGAGTAGGATTGTGTGAAGGAAATGATTTTATCCTCTTGTTTAGAAATATTGGGGACAAAGGTAACAAGGAAATAAATTAAAGGTTGTTTTATTTTCCAATAAATGCTTTCACAGGCAATGGAAAAAAATTCAAGAGGGGATAAGCCTATAAGGGTTTCCCCATTGGAAAGGGATCATCTTCGAATTCCTTTCTTATAATCCACCAAATAAGGGAATTCATGCCATTAAAATTTAATCAAACAGCTACAAACAATGGGAGCAAATGGGAGCATCTTTGCTCACCACCATTTAGTGTGGTGTATGCTTACCACCCTATTTATTATTGTTAAATGAGTTTGAATTTCAAGATTCGTGTAGTGGATAAGCACAAATCTCAAAATTCAAACTCATCAAACCGTGATAAATAGGGTGGTGAGCAAAAATGCACTCACAAACAAGGGCTCACTTTAAAAGTTATAATAACTTTAGCCGTTGAATCAAATTTCAATAGAACGGATACCCTAATTTGATGGATTAGGAGGAAAGGATCCAAAGATGATCCATTTCCTTCCCCCTCAATTGAAGTTTGAATTCCATATAACATGTCTAACATTCCTATTAAATATTAAGAGTAAACTGCCAATTTTTCTTTTAAACTTTCACTTAGTTTTCGATTTTCGCTTTAAACTTTGTAATTGAAAAATCAATAACAACAACAACAACAACAAAGCCTTTTCCCACTAAGTGGGGTCGGCTATATGAATCCTAGAACGCCATTGCGCTCGGTTTTGTGTCATGTCCTCCGTTCGATCCAAGTACTCTAAGTCTTTTCTTAGAGTCTCTTCTAAAGTTTTCCTAGGTCTTCCTCTACCCCTTCGGCCCTGAACCTCTGTCCCGTAGTCACATCTTCGAACCGGAGCGTCAGTCGGCCTTCTTTGCCCATGTCCAAATCACCGGAACCGATTTTCTCTCATCTTTCCTTCAATTTCGGCTACTCCTACTTTACCTCGGATATCCTCATGCCCAATCTTATCCTTTCTCGTGTGCCCACACATCCCACGAAGCATCCTCATCTCCGCTACACCCATTTTGTGTACGTGTTGATGCTTCACCGTCCAACATTCTGTGCCATACAACATCGTTGGCCTTATTGTCGTCCTATATAAATTTTCCCTTGAGCTTCAGTGGCCTACGACGGTCACATAACACGCCGGATGCACTCTTACACTTCATCCGTCCAGGTCGTATTCTATGGTTGAGATCTCCATCTAATTCTCCGTTCTCTTGCAAGATAGATCCTAGGCAGCAAAAACGGTCGCTTTTTGTGATCTTGGCTAGATTGCTCCGGTCATTAGTGTGGATAAGTATATAAATGGAATAGAGATAGGAAAGCAAACACAAGATGTACGTGGTTCACCCAGATTGGCTACGTCCACGGAATAGAAAGAGTTCTCATTAATTGTGAAGGGTTTACACAAGTACATAGGTTCAAGCTCTCCTTTAGTGAGTACAAGTGAATGATTTAGTACAAATGACATTAGGAAATATTGTGAGAGAATGATCTCGTAATCACGAAACTTCTAAGTATCGGAGTGTGGTATCGTCTTGACTTGCCTTATCTGTCTCATAGGTAGATGTGGCATCTTCTCTGGAAGTACTCTTCCTCCATCCAGGGGTGGTATCTTTAACTGGTGGAGATGCACAAGGTAATGTATCAATTTCACTTGAAGCTTACTTGTAGTTTCAGGCTTGGTCAAGCGCGATACAAACCATGTAGTAGGAGTCTCCCAAGTCGCCGAGCTAGGGGATCTGCTGAAAGAGGTGACAGACAAGGTAAGCAATCAGAGCTCCGGCTGATTGTTCACCTTCTCCCCTATCTTGCAGGCAGCATGAAGGATAAAGAGAAGAAAATGAGAAGAGATGATATGGGATACTTTTGCTTTTGAAGAAGTAACTTTCCACAGGCTTATTCTTGAACTGGGCTGGAGGGTTTTCTGGTTTCCTCCAGAGTATAAGGCCGACTGAAGAATTTGAGGGTCAAAACAAGTCCATCAAATCTAGAGTACGTTCGACCCTGCTGATATGGGATACTTTTTGCTTTTGACAGAGTAGTGGATGTATCGGCACGTGTTGCTGTTACGCTTGTCTCCACATGCTTCCTTGTATCCTTCTCACTTGCCCTATCTGTTCCTCAGGCAGATGCGGTATCTTCCCTGGAAGCATAAGATGTTGAAGATGAGTACTCGAGAGCAATGCCAGGTAAGTAATCAGGTAAGGGGTTCCAGGCAGTCAGTTCCTGGACTGGAAGCTTGATTCCAAGTGCTGACTGATTGCTCTCTCTTTCTCCTTGTCTTGCAGGTAAGAACAAGGCCAAAGGAAAAGACAGGGAAAAAGCATGATATGGGATACTCTTGCTTTTAACCCTGATGATATGAGATATTCTTGCTCTAGTATAGCTTGTTTGCAGAGGTATTATCGGGGGGAAAGAAAGCTGAATATTTCGAAAGGCTTCGTTGGGAGTGCCTCTCAAGATATGAGGAAGGGTTGAGCATTTTTGCAGGTCTGCCTGTCCGTTGGGGATGGAGGTCGACATATATATAGGAGTCTCCCTAACAACAAGTAGTAATGCTATTCCTTTACCCTGCTTGGTCATAGCACGGTAGTGGGAGCTGCCAGCTTCACATGTTTTAACTCTGTCAGAGCACTTTGAAAAAGTGGTCTGTGGCTCTCGAAAGTCTTGACAGAATGCCCATAATTTCCGCAAAGCTGAGTGTGCGTGTGACAGGTCTGACAAGGCTAGAAAAGTAGGTGCCTCTTCGGATTTCTGAAG